TAAAAAATAAATTTATTAATAAAATATATTTTAAGTTAAAAATTTATATTCAGTTTATTTAAATAAATGCTATAATTTTGGCATTTTTTCGAAATAATTCAAAAAAATCTAATAAATTATATAATTATTGCATTTAAATATATTTTTTATTATCTGTATTTTTATTTAATTTATTTCAAAATATTTCAAAATATTTCGAAATTGATCGAATATTATTTGATAAATTTTAATAGTTTAGCAATTATTACTCATAAGTAGCTATCTTTTTGATTATAAATATTTTGCTGTTTTGATGCATTTACATCTATTTCGAATTGTTCGAAATATTTCGAAATATTGCACAATAAGTAACGTAATATCATGCTATAATTTTCGTACTTTTGCGTAATATATTTCATAATATTACGCTATATATTGCGCAATATTTTGCAATTTATTGTGCAATATTATACCCAGACCATAATTATTGTGCAATATTTCGGGGCGTAATAACTTGCGTAAGTTTACATTAATATATTTCGCTGATGTACTACAACTACGATTTTTTAATGCCTTTACTTGCTGCCATGTTAGCAAGTTTTTACCTTTTACATCAAGTAACTAATTGATGAAGTAGATTCTCAAACTTGCTTGCTGTTTTCTACTTTTTTTCCTCTGCAAAGGACTTAATATACTTGTAATTGTTGCTTCTGAACTACATATACTCCAGCTTTTTTCTTTTGTGCCAAAAAATATATCTATTCTTTTGCACTATTCTATTGTATTGAGTATGATGTTGCTTTTGCAGTTCTGATTTGCCTCAACCAAAGGATCTCTCCAGACATTATGTACTATGTCTTTTTCTAGAATTTCTTGTCTAATTCTTATTTTTATAATATTTTCTATTATACCGGTACTATTCAGTCTTTAAAAAGAGCTATCATCTGTTTTGCTAATACTGCACTTGCAAGTAGCTTGGTTTCTAACGTACTCCCATGTGCTAGAATACTATTTGGTACCATTTGTGCTATTTTTAACTTTTTCTTTATTAACCATAGAAAAGGTTGGTAAATTGTATTCAATTCGTTTTCTGTTAATGCTACAGTTTATAAAATATACTCCAACTTGGAGATTAAGACCTGGTTGTTCATATACACTAACTGGCTCGCTATAGATTTTTTCCTTTCTAGTTTACAAGTAAACAAATCTACAATTTGCTTTATTTTTTTTTTGATCTCTGCTACCTCTTTCTTAATATGAAAGAAGGTTCTAAGAAACTATAGTTTGTGTAGCTTCTTGCTTGCTTTAACTAGTGCATTTCTGTATTCTACTTGTCTATCAACAATTGGAAGCTTTGAGTTTAATACTATTAACTTAGGACCCCGGACATCTTCAATATAGGTCATAACTGATCTCAAAAATTTGCTAAAAATTCAATTATTACATATAAATTTTATAGTAATTTGCTAAAAATTAAATTATCACATCTATTTTTAATAAATATAAAATTAAATATGCCGGAATAATGTATTTATATTTGCTGAACAAGGATTATTAGAGCATAAAGTTATAATCAATTAGTAAAATTTTGAGAAACTTAAAATTTTATATAATTTTATTAATAAAAATACTAAAAATGCTATGATTCTCAAAAGTTTACTAATTGACTCTATCTTTATACTCTAAGTAAACTTATTCAGCATACAAAAATATATTATGCCAGTATATTTAATTTTATATTTCATGAAAATTTAAGAAAAGATGCTTAATTTTGGATATTTTGATCAAAATATTCAAAATTAAGCATCTTCTCTTAAATTTTCATGAAATATAAATTTAAATATGCCGGCATAATGTATTCTTGTGTGCTTAATAAATTTACTTAGAGCATAAAGATAGAATCAATTAGTAAATTTTGAGAATCTTAATATTTTATATAATTTTATTAATAAAAATACTAAAAATACTATGATTCTCAGAATTTTACTAATTGATTATAAGTTTATGCTCTAATAAACCTTGTTCAGCACACAAAAATACATTATTCCGGCATATTTGATTTTATATTTATTGAAAATTCAAGAAAAGATACATAATCTTAGATTTTTAATCAAAAAATCTAAAATTAAGTATCTTCTCTTGAATTTTGAAAAATCATAGTGGTTTAAAAAATAAAATAGCTTATTTTTGAGAATAATTCTTCCAAAATACAGATAATTTGCTAAAAATAAAATATAATATATATAAAATTGATATAATTTTGACAAAATACTAAATTATAACCTATTATTAAAATTATCATTAAAATTTGCTAAAACTAAAAATCGGACTTTAGACTAAATTTTTGACTTTTTGCTAAAGTGCAAGTATGGCCTATATGAGAGATGTCCGGGGTCCTAATCTTAGCAATCGAAAAAGGCCTAAAAATGAACAAGATAAGACCTTGGCTAAAGACTAAGAATAGTAGTTTGTTAAGAGTTAATCAAGACAAAAGAGTTAAATACACGCTTTATCAAGATTAAGGGTCACTCAGGTGATATTTTTAATAAGCTAGCAGACTTGAAAGTGAAAGAGAGTGCTAAGTCAATAAAGTACCTAACTTCAGAAATACTATATACTGTACAAAAAATTACAAGATAAGATACATGTGGAAAGGTGAACTAGTCGAAAAGCCAATCTGTTCTTTTGTTAAAATGATAGAGAGAGTATTAATTAAGGCAGAGTGGACTTTCTTACACAATATGCATGATGAAACACATCAAGAAAAAAAACATACTCAATCATGAACTATTCTGCACAATATAATAAAAAGCAGAACCAAGCAACGAAATCACACCTTCAAGTCAAATACACTATAGCTCTTTGAAATAAAGTGCATGAACAATATGCTCCTAGTGCTTGAGAAACTCAATTAAAGAAGACCCGAAACTTACAAGACAGACAAATGTATCATATGTAAAAAAAAGAAAGAAAATGTAGAGCACTTGGTGAGTTGTAAGTGATCTTTAAACTTACTCTGTATATTAGAGGAGCAAGTAGTAGAAGCAACCCTGCATGAATTAAAAAATGTAGAGAGCTTGGAGGAAATTAAAAAAAAAGTTCTAATAATGCTAGGAAAAGAATTCCAAGTTGATGAAATACGCAGAAGAGAAAGATGGATTAGAGATTTAATCACAAAAGAAAACTTCGAAGAGTTGAGATCTCTTTTTGACTCGAACAACCAAACAAAGCGATTTTTAGAAAGTTTTTGGAAGAACTAAATAAAAGAAGTATACGAGAGAATTTGGGTTCCAAGGTGCAAATTAGTACAGGAATGGGAGAAGGAAAATGGAATCGTGCCAAAAGATAAAAGAAGATTTCATAAAAAAACAAGAAAGAAGAAAAAAAAAAAAGAAGGAACTACCAGACGGGCATATTATTAAAAGAAAGAAAAATAAAAACGAGAGTAAAAGGTGGTTGTCAGTTCTAGAAATAATCAAGAAAGAAGTAATGAGATGGATTGTAGAGAGACAACATTCAAATTGGTGAAACACTAATATATAGTCTTGACAGGCGGTAAGAACCAGCTGTTGACGTATTATTGAAGCCAATTGCAGAATAAAGTAATACAAAGGCAATTCTTACTATAGCAGGTCACACATAGATACTCAATGAGTAACCGGGTAAGTTTTCATTTGTAATTTAGGTACTGGGAAGAATAACTTTTCAGAAAATTTTAATAGTTTAAATAATTATTACAAAGCCTAATAAAGTGAAGGCAAGACTGCCAAATTTTAAAAAAAATAAAAAAAATAAAAAAAATAATTTACAATTTTTTAATAAACTTTTTAAATATTAATTTATAATATTATATCTTATATATAAAATATAGTAATTACTTACAGAATTTAAAACTTGTTAGAAGTAAATTTTTTATATTTAAAAATATTTACTATAAAATTTTAAAAAAAATTTTATAGTAAAATTTTAAAAAAGACTTTAAATCTAACCTCATTATAGTCACTCTTAATATAGTCACAACCTTGTTTTAATCATACTATTTTTTTGGTTTAGCTATTATAACACATAAAATTTTAACTTTTATTTAGTTACAACTTTTTATAATTACCAAAATTTTGGTTTTCAACCTGGTGATTATATCAAACTGTATTTAAAATTTTATTAAATATTTTTAATATTGTAAAAAATTAAAGCTTAAAAATACAATACACAGACAAATTTGTCTGTATTAGTTTACAAATTAAAAGAAATAATTTAATAAAAATAAAAGCAAAATCTTAAAAAAAATTATTGTCTATAAATATAATATAACTAAAAAAGTTAATGCAAAACAAATAATTAAAATAATAGAATGGTTTTTATTATTGTCTAATTATTGGTTTTATTAAATTTTTTTACTGCTTACAGTACAATATAAACAATGATTTTAATTTACTATATACAGTATATTACATATACATTAAACTATAATAATATTTTAAATTAACTATAAATTAATTAGACCAATTGATTAATAGACAAATTAATTTATAAATAGACATAGTTTATTAACAACCAGATTGAATAGAGTAAATAAATATTAGATTAATAGACCATTAGACAATTAGACAATAATATTTTCGTCTATTAACATCCCTGATGATAGTGTAAATTTCGAGGAATATCCATAGATACTATACGTAATCAACTGAAATCTTCGGATGCTGGTGTTATAAATAAATTTATAAAATTCTTTATTCACATCGTAAGGTCAAATTTTAGAAATACACTGATTTCTGCTAGAATTTCTTTATTATTTTAGAGTTCAAAAAACTCAGCTTATTTTCAATCAGAATTACTCGTTACAAAATGAGAAGCCTATTACTTAACAGATAATATATAAAACATTTCAATTTTATTCATTTAAAATATTTCCATAAACAACGTAAATAAACATATTTATATTTATATAAAATAATACAATGATTTCGAAATATACTACATTATTTATAAAGATTATTTCTTTTATTTAAACAAAAAACTTATTTTCCAGGGAGAATTGTCCAACCTTTAGATTCAATGTAAGCGTGTACCTGTAAACAAACAAACAAACAAACAAAAAAAAAACACGTTAACATTTAGTATAAAAAATATCTCAACAAAATGAAAGTAATTACCTTGCGCCATAACATAATGTGCATAACGACTTGCGCAAACACTAATGTAGCACAGACAGCGTTAAAAACACCAGCGACTATGGCAATAGCACCTTTTTCGTGAATCGCTTTAAAATTTGTAACCATCTCAATTAATCCACCACCGCCTCCGAAAACCCAACCAATGCCAATGAATACACCAAAAATGATATCAAGTAATGTTACAAGGAAAAACCAACGGAAATAGCTTAGATTATCATCTCTATGATGTGATTAATATAGAAATTTAATTAATTTATCATTTTAATATAATGTCTCGTGGAAAAAAAAAAAAACCAGATGAAGATTAATTACTTGTAAGCTCTATACAAGGTAAGATGTCTAGCAATGAAATCAAATATTGGCCATAAGAGGATATAAACAAGCGCAAGTATGAGCTGACCAATGACCGAGATACTATGAATTATAGATTAAACGTTAAAATTAAAGGTAAAAATTATAATTAACTTGCAATATTACTTACGGAGAATAACGGCCAGTGAAACTGGTAACCAAAATTGCTATAAAATTGAATATCAAAGTAATAAAATATACTACGTTCACACAAAAAAAAAAAAATTTAAATATAATTTTTATAGTTAATTTGTTGAAATAATAGGGAAAAGTAAAATTTACATCGATAAAATTATGATATAATTACAAAGCCATAGCTTGTATGATTGTTCAACGGTCTGACAAGAATTAGGGTCAACAATTTCTTCTTGAATGTTATGATAAATAACCGGACGGCATGGTGGCCTAGTTTAATAATAGTATTTTATATAATTATCAATATTACAGTATTACTTTTAGTCTTACTTAAATTAAAATACATAGAAAGCCTACCAGTTTTTTTCAGGCATAATGGCAAATTTTATTTTTTACGCTTTAAAGTAAAAAAAGTTTCTTGCTGTCAAATTTTCGGAAAGATGTTTTTTTTTACGGAAAGAGGAAGAAATCACCCGAAAATGGAAAATCGCCGCAACCCGATTTATCCAATATAGGTTTAACGATAACAAACTAAAATCGATTTTGGGGTTCGGTTATACAATAAAAAGTTAATTTACCAGGGTTTGTATAACTCTAAGGCGTTAAGTCTTATTTTTCTGGAAGGACTAATTATCCTAATTTAGCAATGTATTTATAGTCGCTATATGATCACATACGTATGTAAATATGACATTTAAACATTTAAATATTACGTATTACGTGCAAATCAAGAAATTGTTACAATGACGGCATCAACAGAATAATAGGATCGGAGTTTCAGAAAAAATAACATCCAATCTTTTCTTTTAACGTATTTTTAAAAATAGGAAACCTAAACCATTTAAGGAAAATAATTTCTTCCGGATCTTCTTGTTCTTTTGCTAGGAAATCTTCCACTTGAACCTTGACTTAATTCATGTAACACACTATTACCACTACTACAAAAACTTCCATTCAAGCTGCTATTAAAACTATGCCCACCATAATCGAACTCGGAAAGGTAAAAATCTGAAGATGATGTTCTTGGAAGCGACACTCTATTTTTGAATGAAATGGAATTAAGATGGATGAGTGTGACAAAAATAATTTGAAACAAAGTAAAATAAAAAGAAAAAAAAAAGAAAACCTGGCATCTGGACGTGACGATCTCGGATCAAATGTTGGTAAATTGGCAGAAAGTTCAGGTATTGAACTTTGTACAATATTTAACTGATTTCGGATGAATGAGATAATAAGAATTGCTATGTTCATCTTTTAAAATATTAAATTTGGTATAAGTATATATATATATGTTGAGCTACAAAATATTCTTAGGTTAATAACTAAGTTATTACCGCAGCAAAAATTCCGATATGAACGTGTATGTTTTGAAATTGGGTGATATTCATGTTGAAAAGGAACATCAGAAGAAAATTTAAAACTGTAACTTATAATAATAATTTTTATAAAAGCGTTAATAAATGCTACATATTTTTGTTGATAAAGTTCATTATAGATTATAGTAAGAATTGAAATTATAAGCATACCGACAATTGACATAATTCTGCCAAATCTCATCCATGACATAAGAAATCTAACAAATGGAATAGCCAACCATGGTATTATATATCTCATACCGTATTTGATAGAAGTGATACCTGAAATTATAATGAAAGAAGTGTATTAAACCAATTAAAGTAGAAGAAATTCAATATTTCTAAAATGACTATACTAACCATATATCCAATTAATAAATTCAACAAAAACCCCTAGAGGCCTCAAAATTTTAATAATACTTTCTTGACTCTTACGCGCATCACTTGCAGTCTTTGTAAGTAATTGAATTTCAGATTGAGAGATATTTAATAATATTTGCAAATTTTGTCTTGCTTCTAATAAAGAATTTTGCCATTGATTTTCTAAATCTTGATGCTGGTCCTGATGTTTAATAAAGATCAAAGTGTGATGTTTAAAATAACTTTCAGACAAATAGAGCATAAAATAGATAAGAATAATTAAGTCTTTATTTACTTTATATATTTCTATCATATTGTAAACTTTTTCCTGAGCCTTTAATGTGTTGTGAAGTGCCGCATCAATTTTTTGTAAGTTCTGTAAGAAATATTAAATTCGTTTATTCTCTTGATTTGCTTTTTTTTTAAAAAAAATTTTTTTAAACTTACTTCCGAAATCTTAGTATTTATTTTGGCTATGCTTTCTACGTATTCCTTTATATGCACACATTTTAACGATTTAGAAAAAAAAAAAAAAAAAAATACAAACAGCATATATTTTTATACCATTGATTGTTTGAGTGATATCAACTGTTGATTTGTTGCACTGTTAATTTCCTCAAAAGCCTCACTAGCTTTTGATCGATATTCTTCAAGTTCCTAAATCATCACATAATTTTATTAACTAATATTCAGTTCGCAAGATTTTTTTTTTTTATAATTTAGGTCTCACCTTTCTAAGTTGAGACAACTGACCCAATGTACCCTGCACGATTTCTTGTGAGTCTGACAAATTATCTTTAAGTGATACCATGTTTACCGAAGCCAATGAAGTAATTTTCTATCAATATAACATTGTATTTAATTTAAAATAATTTAAGATTCATAAAACATTTGATATTCCTGAATTAAAAACTTGATTACCTCAATCACATTAACGCTATTTAAGATCATTGACTGAGATTTTTCAAGTTGAATTAATCTCGCCATTTCTTCTTTCCGCCAAGAAATCATGTCATTTTGCTGAACACGTAGAATGCTATAATTTATTAGTTGGTTTTGCGTAATATTTCTGTGAAGTTCTTCGAGCAAATCTAATAAAGCAAAATATAGAAAACAAAATTAATTTAATGCATTTATTTTATTTTTATTAAGAATGTAAAAAAATAAACGATCGAAGAATTACCTCGCTCAATCGAGTATCGTACAGCAAAACACATGTGGACTATTTATAAATTGGAATTAATAATTCTTTAATAGATTATATTTCGAAAGATTTTTAATTGTTTTTACATACAAACTTCTCGAAAATATCCAGAATATGATGTCCATAGTTGAGGAATTCGCGCTAAAGCTCTATAATTACAGTCATTAACATACAATCATATATTATTTACAAATATTTATTCATGAAGGGTATTCGAAACACATACTCTACACAAGTTCCAACATCTTGAACAATATCATTACATTCCATGGGAGCAACGAGATTTGCTGTTGCGATTTCACACATTGTCAACCGTACCGCGTCTAATTTTCAAAAAGAATTTTAATGAAAATCTCATATGGTCTAGAAAAAAATATACTTACATTTTATTTTATCATTATCAGAAATATCAATATTTCTACAACCATGTCTTAATGTTAAAGCTGCATCTTTAAAGCAATTTTGTTTTTTTTCAAATTGAGCTAACGCAGCTTTTTTTTTCAATATACTAATATTAATATTGTATAAAGATCTTAAAAAATTCAATTGCTACTAAGAATTATATTCATACCATGCCCACGCTCAATGATCATCTTTTCTTCATTTGATAATTTCAAGAAATTTTCTGCCCAGGCTTTCATTACGTAGACATTTTGTGGTTTAATAAAAAAAAAGCACTTTTTTTTTAATTTAAAAATATGCAAGTTACCTGATAAATCACTGTCTTCTAATCTAGGGAATGTCTCATCTGATTTAACATTTTCACCAATTCCAAAAAAATTTGGTAATTTAAACCAACTATTATCAGATGCAAATATCGATGGGACAGAAAATAACAAATATCCAAATGAAATATTTAAGAATGATTGTGAAATCTTCATTTTTTTTTGTAAAGCTTATTTCGGATTATGTTTTATAGTAGCGTGTTATAATTGTAAGAATATTAACTAAACTGAGAATTTTATTTTGTTAAAAAAATTTCCGAAACTTGATTAGATTGTTGCATGACTTTCTTATTAATCACTATGATGATTTAGATATTATATAAAGTTTCAATTTATACACCGCTAATGATCACTTACTATATCGTTAATAATGATAATATATATTTGCTCAATTTTATAATATTTTCTAACAATAACAAAGCATCAGAAATAGAAGTGATGATAAAGGTGATGCAATAAGTCAAGAAAGCAATTTTATTAGATCTAATAGATTTATCATACTTATTCGTTAGTGGATACTTGTTGCTTATGATGACGATTTGTGACTATTGAAGGTACATTTACAGGATATAAGAAAGTTTATTACATATCATAAAAAATTTAATATTGTTATAATATTAAAATTGTTGATGAGGTAATAAAATAATAAATATTCAAGATTGATCGTCTTATCAACCATATGATGTAAATTGTAATTGAAAGATAAATAATTAAGTTGAACATTTCATTTCTTTTGTCCCTTATTAAATCAAATGTTCATAATTTAATAAGATTGGGAATACTCAAAAAAATACCTATTTTTTAAAGAAATATAGATAAAATACAAATTCTAGCTCTTCAAAAAAAATATATACTGTATATTTTTTTAAATTATTAAAGTTTCTTCACGTTATCGACGGTATCAATGGGAGTAGTTTAAGTACAGAAATATACGAGTCATAAGATGATTGTCTGATTAACTATCCGAATCAATTAGCCCCGCCAGGGTCTAGACACTTTTGCAGTAACGTGACGTGGCGCATAGAAAATGACCAATCGGAATTCGTAAATTTCGATCGTCC